CGGAGACTTACAACACTGTCACTAGGTTCTTCTCATAACTTTGAGTATATTTGTAGCCTTATCGAGGGGAATGGAGTATCATAGATGAGACTGGCAACATGGTTGCCATTGCCATCAAACAGGTTGTCACACTGCCACATTGGGATACGATTTTGGGATGACCGACGTATGACCGAGAAGGCATATGTGCGAAGCGCCCTTCCAGCGCTTCATTCGCAATCTGCTCGCTCTGCACCTCATTGGACGAGGACAGATAATCTTTCCCCTTTTGGTAAGATCTCTAGCGTGATGTGACTGTCAAAAGGACTGCATATGGCCTGATAACGAATTCCGCGACAGATCGTCTCGGATTTCCTACATATCCACTACTCTACATACTAAAACTAGCATAGAACTATTGTAATGTGGTGCCCGAATGGATCTGCGAGACTGATTGAGTATTGCTACAGTAGATCTGAAGAAATCTGAGTCACATGTTTTTTCTGTCAAAAGGAGTGGTGTATTACTGTAGTTCTGTGTAGTACAGCGAGCAGACGATAAGTACGATACGAAGACTTCCTGCGCTTGCGCGATATACGCCGATTGTGGGTAAGTACGTACACATGATGCTGAGAGGGAGGAGAGCTCTCGTGAGCGACGTGACGAGATGGAGTACGCTGATAATCAGACTATCGAAGGCAGCACTAGTTTACAGAAGCAACGGCTAAGCACGGCCGAAGCCCAGACCTGGAGAACATGAAGACGTTTTTTCATTTAGATCAAGCAACCGACAGTAACAGATCGAGCACAGCGCACGGCGACAGTGGAGCGTTGCATGACATGATGATAAGCCGCGGTCAGACTCGTCAATTGAACGGGAATCGAAAAGGACGAGTAACCGAACCCTAGATGATAAATGCGAAGCGAAGTCATCCTGTTCTACAAGCACGAATAGCAAACGGATAGGGTGCAGATGGTGTATAAGAAGGCAACTGTTGCGCCACCTGCATTACTACCGAAGAGATACGAGAGTACCATACGATAGGCGACATGGTTTGTGTGATGGCGTATTGTGACAGACTACATGTATTGTGTTTTGGTTTAGAAGGGAGAAGGGAGGTAGAGAGCATATAGCCGAGGGTATGTGCGTGCAAGTCGAATGCATTTTTGACAGGCAGAGCGGGTTGCGTGTAGGTCGTATGGAAGATGATAGCGTGAGCGGAGTTAGATACTGATATAGAAGTGCGTTATGATGGATGCTGATTGTTGGATGCTGACGAAGAATGCGAGTAATAACAGAGGTTGTCCTAACGTAGGATGGGAAGCCCAGTGACGAAGCTTCATGCGATGTATACATAGATACTGATTGTTGCAGGCGGCCGCGGTGACAATCGACGGTGGCAATGGGGCTTGACGTCGACGAAGATACGATGCCGCAGGCTTTTGATGGAAGACCGCGAGGTGAGCGCAGTAGAAACCGGGAATGCGACAGACCCGAAGGACGTGGAAAGCGATAACACAGAGCACGACAATGATCGAGGTTGCAACCGAGGCGGTTGAGTGCAGAGGCGAGACGAGGAGCGAGAATAGGTGTGATGCGACGAGGACAGCGGGACATGCGTCTAGTTGAAGAAACGAGAAGGGTTGTGATGAGGTCATGCAGTCGTGCTTTGGTCGTTCGATCGTCAGTCCGATGGGAGGATACGACAAGGGTCGCAAGCCTATCGCTTGACGGCGGCGGTCCTGCCTCGTTCGCGGGAAAGGATGCCGCTGCGTCCGTTCCCATACCCAGGCGCCTTACGGTCAACGCCATGAGCAATCTGGTCGAGCTCGTCTGGACGCCTCCTTCCTCGTCTACCCTCATTCTCGGGCTGCACATCGTTCTGGTCGTACTCCTCGATATCAATGCCCGAGTCGCGATATCCCATTTTCTCAAACTTGGGGAGCGGGGGTGGGGAACTGTTCCTCCGCTGGGCCAGCTGACGAGCCGCACGCACGCCAGCGGCGACGACGGGGCTGTGCGCAACCCAGTCTGCGACCTTCTCCATGCTATCCAGGCGAGCGCGGACCTGAGCGCTTTGGTGAGCGTGAGCGCGCGGACAAGGGGAGCGGCTGGGCGAGCGTCGAGAGGAAGATGAACGCCCGTCAGGGTCACGTCGACGACTGCGACCCCGAGGCGCTGCGACTGTGGGCGAGACAAGGTCCCTGGAAACACGCGTCGGCTGTGCCATAGCAAACGCGGTCGTGGTGTCTAGAACGGGATTCGCAATGCGTGGAGCGGGAGGAGACGCCGAATTGTTTTGCAGCGAACGCGACAGCATAGAGAGCGCAGAGGGTCCCTTGTGCGAACGCGGGGTAGTGGAGGTAGAGACGAGGAGGGAGAAGTAGGCGGGAAGACTTGCCCGGTTACGGCGCTTCTTGCTCGTTACCGTCCCTGGCTCCTCGTCATGGCCATCCTCGTCGCTGGGGGGAGTAGGTAGGTCGGCGGACTTGCGACCATGACGGAGATCCGAGCGGATAGAGGAAGGAGTAGCGGGAGCGGAAGGCCTATCGTCAAGACCGTTCTCCCCCGAAATGTCGTGGGGAATACTGCGGGACACACCAGTGCTTGCAGTCAAAGCGGAAACAGAAGACGTGCGCCGATGCAGCGAGGGGATCATAGCTCGGTGATTGGTTGTGGAAGGGCGTCGAACGTACGCGAGAGAAGACGAGTTGTGCGAGTATCCGTTCGCGAACGACGGGGACAGCTTGGATGGGTCCGTGGCATAGTCCGGATGAATGGCATAGTACTCATCGTCAGCATTCGCACCATAGATGGCGAGCGAAGGGCTGTCCTCCTCGTGCTCATCGTCGAGAGCATACCAGGAGGTCGAGGAGTTGGACGAGGACGACTCGGAATGGCGGACGCGATGTGAGACCTTACGAGCGCCAAGTGATTGTCCGAGGGCGGAGGGGTGCAGTGCAGGGACCTCTGAAAGATGCACGGGGGTGTTGTGGGATGAGCGGAGTAACGGCGAGGGTTGTGCGCTGCTGGTTGTGGAGATGGAAGGCGAGGTGATGTCCTGGGACTCGCACTCGTCGCCGCAATAGGCTCGGCTGTAAGGGGAGAGCAGTGAGTCGGGCCGTAACGGCTAAGCGCGGCGGGTAGAGTACTTACCCGTCGGCGAGGACAGGCCTGCCGCAGACGAGACAGACTTCTTCGTACATGGAGATCGTCGGGGCGGGCAGGTGGGCGAATGCTGGGGACGGTCGGGAGGAAGGACGTCGGGGGGCGGGGGCTATATAAGAGACATGTCGCAAGTGTGAAAACGCAGGTGAAGGAGCCTCCCAAATGCGCGTCCCAAATGCAAACGCAAAATACACGCATGACTCCTCCAAAAACAATTAATGCCACCCCACCATCACGCTCGTCACACCGCGATCCCCTCCCCTTGGCGATCTCCCCTCGATCTCCCCTCCACGTATGGCATCATCCGGCGTCCCCGTCGCCCTCCAGTCCGTCACAACCCTCAGTCACGCCGAGTCGCTCCCTGGTCCAGTTCTCCCAGGCGCTTCTCCGTTGTCCAGTCCGCGCCTGGCCTTGTGCACGTTCATACAACACTCGCACTCGAACTTTCGTACACACTGTTTTTCCGCAAACGTGTCCTCCAGCTTCGTTGTCCTGCAGAACAACGTGCTTCTTCCAGCAGGGCATAATTCCCGTCCGCCGCAAGCATTCGTGCTGCCGACGCACTGCCATACCAAGTATCCCGCCATATCTGGCGGACCGCCTACGGAGCCTTTCACTGTTTGTAGCCGCCAATGAAGCTCTCCTCGCCTTCCCACTTCCCTCATACACCAATCTCAGAACGCCGGTCCGAACGTGTCACGGCAACACCCCTTGCTGTTCCTGTTTCTCCCTCCGCCGGCTTCTCTCAAATTCTATCCCGTCCTTCTTCCCTCGAGTCTCAATGCAGAACCTTAAACCACGCGTTTGCACTCCAACCGTTTCTCCGACATGCTTGCAGATCACAGCACGCCCTGTTTGAGTGCACTCAGCACACCCACGCACATCACTCGCACGCTCAACGCACTTCGTACGACGCCAGACCTGCAACGTCGCGCGACGTGATTAGCAGATCCGCTTGAAATGAGTCTTCCTTTCCCTTCTTGCGCGCCCTATCGCGAGCCAGCTATCCAGCTAGTTGTATCGCCACATTCCACCGCATCACGCATCACTGTCACTGTCAAGTCGGCCCCCCGAAGTCGAGACTTCCTTCGGCCAGTGCATGCCTCGAACGCCCAAATGCATGCACGACTGACGCCTTGGCCCAATCGCCATCAGTAATTGCGGACGCCGAGAAAGTACGACCGCTCCGAGTCATTCGACGTCCGTTCGCCATCTGTTGGCGGACCTTCCCAGTCATCGTAGCGCCTTGAATGTTATGCCGACATGTCCTCGCGCGCACGGCCGACATCCGTAAAGAGGAGGTGCCCCATCGGTCACGACCTCGCGCGTCATGCCATTGTGCAGTCGTAAGCCAATGACTGGCCAATTACTACGCTAGTGACGTTTGCGCAGTTGTGTGGATTTTGAGGCATGCTATGGCGCAATCGTGCCAGAGCGCGGACGAGCGCCTGTCAGACCACCGCTAGTAGTATCAAAATTTCGCTTGTCTGCTTTTCGTTGGGATCGCTACGGCGCGGATCTCAAACCAACTCGAGACCCTGAGAGAATATTCAAACGTTTCTGTAGCGTCTAGAACCCCCTTTCTGCTGTATTGGCGGAGCGGTCGCAAGTGCGTTGACCGGTATGTGTGCGTACCGCCGCAGTCCGAGTCCGACTCGGTCTACGTCGGATTTCCTCTGCGCTGGTGTATCCTTGCACCCTCCGACTCGGGTACGGGGCCGTGGACGCGCAAGCCATCGCGACGTGATGGCCTCGTGCGGCAACCCAGCATATGGCCGTCTCGACGTCCGTTCGCGCAGGCGCCCGCTCCGGCGAATCTTCCGTATGTTTCGCCAGCCTTCGAGCACCCGTTCACCTCCAGCACGCGTCGATTGCTTGCAGCACCATCGCCCTAGGGCAGTTTTGAATCGAGTGACATATGTGTAGCGAAGCTCATCTCCGGTCGCCCCAGCTCGCCACTGGCCACCCGCCTGGCGCACGCATCACCTCATTGCCGGCGTCCTTCACACCTCCCGTGGTCCTGCGTCCACTGGGCGGTGGCGAATCATCTCACTTGACACCATACGTCTGGGGGCGTGTCCGGATATTCGCGCGCGCGAGCAAAATTTCTTCCTCCGTTGGGGGCCTCGCCAGGCACCCCCTTCTCAGGGCATGCGTGGACCAACAACGGCTTACAAGTTTGCTTCCGCGCCTGGCACGCGGCGTCCGGTAGCGCGACGCCTAGCCTATACGTACGCAGGCACGGCAACCTAGACGCAAGCGACGAGCGGCTCAGCCCCGTATCTTCTCTGCTGCCTTGCCGTAAGTGGGCGTAAACTGTGATTCTCCTAGCCGACGTATGTACTATACCTGCACCATGTCACACCGCGTAAGGGCACCGCGTACTTACCCCACAAAGCAGGCTGAACCTTCCGCATCTCTGCGGAGGCACGAGTCCACGAAAAAAATCGCACCGCACGTCCGGACCGCGACGCGCTCGCAAATAGCGAAGCTCGCTACCTTTCAGCTGAGGCCCCGACTCTGCCAAACGCGATCCAGAGCGCGACAGGACCCCCGGACGAGCCAAGCCGGACATCCGCCCTGTCCGGGCGCGGTCGTCCGACTGTTCAGTCGGCTTGCCCATATGCGCGTAAAGTCCGGAGCCTATCTCGCGGAGTCGACGCTCCGTCCGTGTTATCTCCAGCGACAGCTATCGCTGGCCACAGTCTCTCGCAAAAACTTGCTATCTACGGGTACCCGACGCTCTACTATCTCTCTCGTGACTCGATGTATCGAAGTACGCCTCCTCCGAGTTGACCCTATCTGTGGCCCGACGTTGACGCGCTGTCTATCATCTATCTTGGTATCTTGTTCGCGCGCCGTGCGACCGACCTCTTCACAACGCCACAACGCCCCTCAATTACGCTCTGACTTCTCCGGCTGCTCGAAGCTCGAACCGCACCTGAAATAGCGTTTCATCGACTTCACGCAGGAACCTGCATTCACCGGCGGCGGCACAGGCGCTCCTTCCCGCTTCGAAGCTTCGCACGGGCGCGAAAGCTTCCATATCGAGCGGCGTGAAGGGGGTGAAGAGAACGCTTTTTCTGCTTCACGACTCCCAGGCGCGCGTCCTGTCAGCATGGAGACGGGTTCTGCGACCCGGCGAACCTCCCACGTCCCTCGTGAGTCTATTGTGCCCTCGTTCTCGTTCCCGCGCGCATGCGATTGTTCGACGTTCTCGGCCTTCCGTCAAACATTGCGAGGGTGCTCAGGACAAGACCGTGACGCGCTCGGCGGAGTCACCTCGAGGGGAATAGGAATTAGCCTTTCGCGATCAGTGTTGCCTTTTTGGGGTCGCGTGCAGTGCTCCTGCTCGGGGCGGGATGGCGCGATGTCGTCGCTGCGAGGCTCGCCCGGATAATCTCTTTCCATCTCGTTGAGTCACCGCGTTGGTTTGTGGGCACTCAGCGGCATTTTGGGGGACATCGCGCGACCCTACCCTCGAGATGCTCACGCCTCACGGTTGTCTTGTTAGAGCCATGGGAGGAGGGTACAACGGACTGGATCGGTTCGAGCCACGCCAAGGTTCCACGAGCCAGTTTAGACCGCGTTCTGCCTTCCTACCAGCTGCCAAACCATCCGCTCGCGCTGCGAATGCGTCCAGCGCAATGCATGTAGCACGGCCCCGTACCCCCAATCGCCGCGGGCATAAGACGGATGGCCGGCACACCATCCGAGCGGACGCGCCACAATCGCGCAGGCGTGCAGCGTCGGATGTCGACGATAGCGGCGCCCACCGCGCGACGTGGCGGCGCTGTCGCAGACAGGGCAAATCGCTGGCCACATCGACGCCATACAGCCGCGACTTCCGGGACGATCGCGCGAGCGCGGGGGAGCGTGACGCGGTCGCGTGCCCGGTGGCCATCGAGCTCCCGGAAGGCGCTTGTCTTGTCCGTGCGGGTGCCGGGACGTTTAGGCGGGGATGGAAATGTACACGTCTGTATGTGCTCATCGTGCATACTGTATGCCTCGGGATCGTATTGAGGGTCGTGGCATGACCTGTACTAGCGTCTGAAGACCGACGAGGATCCTCCGCACCGTGTTGATGTGCTCGGTGGAAGCGCACCGGAAGGGTGACCTTGCAATGCGATCCCATCGCAAGGCGCGGATCTGCGACGGGCCACTGCAGATTTGGCTCCTGAAGAGCAACGAGATGGACCGACACAGGCTGGAAGTTGAACACAAGCACATGGGGTGCTCCGTGGCGGAGTCTTGTCAACCTTAGGGGCCAGCGTCGTCTGACCGCGGGGGAGGCATGCGCCTTGTAGCCCGGAGTATCGTAGCAGCGACATTGCAGTCATGTGAGCCGAGCGAGAAACCTCAGGCTGGCAAGTATGGTGACCGTTGACAGTGACACTGGCCTCGCGGGATAACTCATCTTACAGATGTCATTAGTTAGCGATCATGCTCGTCTCATCGCAGTCATGACGATGACCTCACCTCGCAGTGCTGTGACTCACGCCGAGGAGGATTAGGAGCGAGCATGCTCGCACTTCTCATGCATGTCCGAGTCATTCTCGGAACTTTGGGTCGTGAACAGGTGCGGTTCAAGTGCTGATGAGGTCATCGAGCTGACCATCGCCTGGCCATCTTGGGCAGCGGCCTGATTGTTACAGCAATTGATGATGCATCCTGCGTGTCCTTTTCGGGCAGGAAGGGTGCCTCTTCGACACCATAACATCCATGTCGGTGGGACTTGGTCTCGTGCGGCAACGTCATTGCTCTCGACGAAACCTGGCTGCCTGACCTTCGCCATCGGTGACTGATACGTTCGGACTGTGGTCTATTTTCCGCATCTTTGTTACTACGCACTGCATCCGGATTTAGACCTCCTATGTACCATCCGCCGCTATACTGAGGGCTGACTTCATCGGACTCTCTGAGGCGAGCCGTCACGGTAACGCGTCGAGCTGGAGACGTTGTGGCCAGCCCTCGCCGGGCCCCATCGACAGATAGATGTCACGTATCGCGAGGGTGCATCAAGCTCGCAGCGGCAGTTCGACTCACCGAGTGCAGCTGAACCGCGGGAGGATGGCGCTGGTACGTGATGACCAACCATCTCCCTTGCTCGGTCACCGAACTTGGCAACGCTGCAGATCCTCCACGGTCGCAATGTCCACGGTCTAGGCCTATAGCTCACTTCCGCAAAGCGACCCTCCTTTCTGGTGCCTGTTTGTGAGTCCTCGCGCCGTTATGCCCGACAACGTTGCATTCAAATTTTTACCCCGGTATATACTTTGCAGGCTGCTCAAGTTTGTCAAGTCAAAAGTCGCACAGTGAACGTGGCCATCCCGTCGCGCCCCGACGACGCTTCCAGGGGCGAGCGTGTTCTATTTCACACCACAATGCGGGAAATGCGATGGATGCGGGCACAGTTCATATAGGCGCCGGAAAACCTGAAGTATCCCTCGGCCACGGATGACGTAGCGTTGTCAGAGGCAGGCATGTCATCCCGCGAACTTGAAGTCTTTGGCGCATGACGATATGAATACAGGGGAACACTCTTACTCCACCATTTGACTGCACGTCCCGGAGCAAAGCGACTGATTCCACGAATATGTTGGTCACGCACCGTCCTGGAGACAGACGCGGATGACGATACCGCCGGTCTCGTTGCTGTGTACGAAAGTGTACGTGTATGTAAGTTCATCTTTGAGGGTGCATCGCTCAGGTGCCCTTTGTCTGGTCTAGACTCAGTCCGCAGAGCTCAACGGTGCGCGCAAAGGCCCGGTGCGAGCTAACTTGTCACGCGCGCGCAAGAGAGACGACGTGCTGCGGACAGGGTCTACCCTGTAACTACGTTTGAAACGTTACAGGTCAGCTCGCACCGGGCCTTGTGCGCACCGTCGAACTCCTGAGTATATGCCACAACAGGTATGCAGGTCCCCAAGGCCCCACATGCGACTGCCTTCCGTCAACAGTGAACACACCATGTTACCAGAAGAGACAAGCGCAGCGGTAGCGCCTCTCAACCTCCTCCCCGCGCCGAGCGAAGCATGACGTTGTGGCGCTGCTCCTAGGCACACCTGATGGGCGGGCAAGTCACCGGCTTGCCGCCGTCCGGTCGAGAGGCGCGACTTTTGCAGGCACCTCTGGTCGGACCTTCTCAGACTTCAAATCCTGTGCAGCAGCCTCAGGTAGCAGTCCGACATTCCAGATCAACTTCCCGAGCCGATCGGCAGCGTTATCGGGCGCACCGTAACCTATGTATCCAAGGTGATTTTGATTTCAAACGTTCAAGGGTTAGGCGTCCATACGACGATGGACACGCGGAGGCCGAGCCGTGACACAGCGGGCGCATCATGTCCGCAGGCGCGCCGAACCGCCCCTCCCGCGCCTTCCCTGTTCTATCCATCGAACGTCACGCCCGCCGCCCGCAGTGTCTCGCTATGTCCACCGCCCAAACCGCAAACCGCCCGGGACCGGGCTTTGGAGACCGATCCTGGCCACTATCGGTTTCGGACGCGACACCATAAAGGGTCGATGCGCTACTCAACTCGGATTCGGCACGGGACTCAACCGCTGCTTCGGGCGCAGACGCTGATGGCGTAAGCACACATCTGCGTCAATCCGCTCTGCTTGGGAATGTAAGCGTTAATTTCGCAGCTCGGGCAGCGAGTCTGAAAATCCGACATTCGAACCATCCTTGATACGCAGCCGACCTTGTGAGCGCATTCAGCGGCAGTTCGCGCAACACGTACCTGCCTTGCGGGTCTTGTGTCGCCGACTTGGGGCGGTGTATGCTGTCAGCAAAGGTACTGAAATAGATGGACGAAGCCACGAAACGGCGAGGTGAGCTAAGGCGACTTCCGTAGGCACATGCACACAACTTTACGAGACGTCGTGAGGCGTTATGTGGCCCCTGGTTTAGCTCTGACGGGGTGCGGATACCAGTTGAGCTGGATTACGTGCGTGTACATGTTCATCTCGAGCCCCTTCCCGGAGACTGGACGCGAGAACGACATAGTGATCGTTGGTAGAGTGCGAAAAGTGAGTAAGCTTCTCGTGATGTATTCATGTACATGTGCCCATAGACAGGCTTACGGCTGCTTACAGTATGTCCAGTGGATATATGCGCGCGCACAAGGTTCTAGACTGCAGGTGGCAACACCTTGTATCGCTCCCTATCACCACTAGGTTCTGCAGACACGGAGATGAACGCTTTATGAATTGGTGAGGTGCGCGAAGACACGAGCTGTCCTGAGTCGCGTGACCTTGACAGTACCCCCGTTTCACCACCGGGCGACTTGCATGCTTTACCATCACAACATTTGTGGCACAACAAGACATCGCGCGGTGTGTGTGACTGTGACCTCGTTGAAGGTTTGGAATGTAATCACTCACTATCTGTCATTCCATCGCAGAGTGACTGACATCGAAGAGCATGAATCCCCTCGGACAGAGAACATCGCGATTCTCGTGCGTCTGAGTCACGCCGCTTGAAGCCGACCATTGGGTCTCTCGTCAAGGAAGTGATATGTACTGACATATCGTCTTGTTCGACCCCGACTTTCCATCTTCGAACCCATCAAGGTCGATGTTTGAACATGATCACCCGGCCGCTCTCTTCCTCGGTCTGTCGAACAGACGCTGCGACGGCATCTCCTTCGGCATCTAGAAGCAGCGGTAAACCGTCTCAAGTATCTCATCACGCTGCGCAGGTGGTTTCGGAGATGGGAGGACCGCCCCTCCCGCCACCTCCGCCCCGGTGTTCTCGGCGGGAGAGGCGGCGACCACTTTTCCCGTGACATCCCAGCCGAGAAGAAACCGACCTCCGATAGCGCGCTATCCGCTACTACCGACCAGGCCCGCATCCACGCACATGATCATGGCACTATGTGCTGGGAGCTTGTGTGACGCGCCGGCGCCGACATCCTTTGCGCTTCCCTGGCAGCGCTGTCTCACCGTCCGCCTGGCGCCCAGTATCGGAAGTCGGAGATGCGCACACGTGCCGGTGAGGGTTTACCAGGCCCGGGATGGTGATGCATCCTGCTTCCCGGGGCAAGCTGGGACGCATAATGGCCGGGAACACTTGCGTTCATCCGGATGGTTGCCGTCTTCCTATGTTGGTGCCCAAGAATGATGTATTCCTTCGCCTCACGATTCGAGCCGTAGGGACCTGACATGATGGATGAAACTTTCAGTGGACAGACACGCAGATAGGGCGACGTCTCGAAACCTGTCAGGGGTATCGTGCCTCTGCATTGCCTGAGCAGTTGTGAGTGGACCGCCGGCCGGATATCGTACCGGTTGGCCGTGAACTCACCACCGGTACTGGTTTGCTTGATCCCGCTCAACCGTAGGAGCTCGGAGAAGGACAAGTGCAAGACACGCCATACATTCCGGCTATGCACACGGCATGCTGAACGTGTCAAGTGCGACAGCGTGACCAGCCCGAGCTTGAGTCGGTGTGAAATCGCACGCATGGCATCCGCCAACGTTGATCCATCCAGTTTTCGAGCCCAAGATCCGTTTGGAATCTGACGGATTCCATCGACGAGCGGTCGACAACGCGGAAGACATACTCTTCATCTTGAAAAAAATATGCAAGCGGTCAGCGGCCCGTCGACCACCCCGCGAACCGATCCGTGCCGTGGCGACCGTGACGGAGTTCGATCGGGCTGCTCGACAAAAAATGTTGATACACACTCGAGATATGACCTGATCCGAGCCGCGTAGATCCGCCCGTTCCACGTTCGCGCAATATTGCACAATCGGAGAAGTTGAGAACTGTAGAGAGTCGAAAGGGGAGCGGCCAAGCGATTAAAACATTCGGCCTACGAGGCGAGTGTCCAGTAGGATCTGGATCTCAGCAACGTTCCTCTGTTGCCGAGTGCCGTGTTCGCCATCTGGAGGGTTGCGGGGTCGCTCGTACCTCCTCGCCTATAGCTATCAGTGTCTGCAGCAACTCTTCTGCCGAAGCCATGTGAGGAACTGGGGTTAGAGGCCATGAACGATGCCGGAGTGGTCGAGCGGTGGAGCAAACATGAACCAAGAATGTTTTGAGGAACGCCTGTTGCAAGGTGTCCCGACCGAATGTCTGGCATATTTGCAGGTCAACCTGTCCATCTACACACAACCTGCCAGGGCATCGGAAATAAGATATTAGACGGATCTTTGAAGTCCAGCTATAGTGATATATACTCTTATGTACCATTCCATCCATGCAGAGCGCCGCGTCCTAGGTAAGCCCTTCCGATCCATGGTCTCATGTACCACTCCGGCAAGGAACCTACGACGCGCTCTCCAGAGACTGCTCCATTTCCGACACCGGAGGCGCGGGCAGCCGTGCATCAGTATCCGTATCCGCGCTCGCATCCGCGTTCCCGTCGACAGTCACGGTGTCAATTGCATTATCCCCATTCGCAGCGTTCGCAGCCCCATTCTGCTGCGGCAGGTCCTTCACAGAAGGGGATCTTTCCGCCTTAGGTGGGGTCTGCGGAGGAGACCCATCCGCATCCGTGCTCTCGGGTTCATTGGCGAGAGGCTCCTCTGTAACGGTGACTTCGAGAGGCGGTGGTGGCGGCGCAGCCTTTGCAGGAACAAGTGCTGAGGAAGGCGAGTTGTCGCCCATGGGGTCGACTCGAGGTGAGCTCGTGAGCGGATCAGATCCAGGGGAGGGGGTGAGACCCGGGGATGGCGAGATCGAGGGCGGGGGTAGTGCCTTCTCGAGATTGAGTGGATGCGCAGCGGGTGCGGGTGCGGGCATGGAAGCCTTGCGGCCGTTGAGCGTACCCGCACGTGCGAGCATGCCTTTGAATCGGCCGCCTGGCTGAGCGGCCGGTTGTACGACCGGCTGCTGTTGCTGCTGCTGCTGTGGAGGAGGCTGTTTGATCGCAACAGGCTTCTCGGACACTATGGTCTCAAGCATGGCAGTAGGTGCGGCGACATTCTTGAGACCTGTGAGCTTCTCCTGAAGAAAGCGCGCATCCGCAAGGAGTCTGGGAGGGCCGGATGAACGGTGAGCCCAAGTCACAGGATGCATACAGCATGTCGCTACGCACCGCTCCTTCGCCTCCAGGGAGGGAAGTTCAATCTTCGTGTACTCTTCCGAGAGCCTGTGGTTGATCGCAGCGAAGACTTGCGTCATGACGTACTACGGGCAGTCCTTCACTGTCAGATAAGCTGACATTCCCGCCTAGAAGACAGCATACCTCGACTACTGAAGAAGGAAGATACCGCGAGAGAACCTTGTGCAGCGTCACAGTCTCCTTCACCAGCACTTCCATGTAATCGTTGACGCCTCCGCCTTCCTTGGGCACGTCCCATCTGACGGCCTTTGCAGCAATGTCAGCTGTGAGCAGGCGAGCGATAACCGGGAGGTAAACGCACCTGAAGCGTACGGATGTGTGCCGTCAGCCGGTCGCCCATAATTGCAATCAGTTTCGCGTGGATCTCGTTCTGGTGCTCTTGATAGTCTCGCTTGAGCTTGTCGAACTCGATGAGCATCACTGCCTGCTTCTGGCTCAGGTGACGTCGAAACGTCTCTCGGATGTACGGGATGAGCGAGATCATGATCGCAAGTGACTGCGACGCGAGGGCTGTCAACGCGCATTAGTCTCAGTTCACCCTGGAAAGGCCCAGAGCCTCAGACGTACCCAGATGCTTCGCAGTGATGTTTTTCAGCCCCGCAGAGCGCATAGCCCCAGCCCCGAGCACGACCTGGCACGTTCGCGAATTGAACGACTTGAGGAGCTCGATGATGCGGCTCATTGTATCAATCGTCAGCAGGGGCAGGTTCACGATCACCTTCAGATAATCCAAGAGTAGGACGAGCACATCGAGCGTCGCGGACACGGCGAAATATGCGCGCTCCTCGACGCGCAGGTGCTTCGTGGGTGCATTGGCTGAGCGCCTGCGCTGGCTGCGGCCCGGGGAAGGCGGGAAGTTCGGGGAGGGCAGGGGAGAGGACGGGCGCGGGCCGCCGTTCGCTGTGAGCGAGGGCGAGGGCGGCTGTGGAGATGTTGGCGGGAGGGGCGAGAGGAGGTCTTGGGGCGGGCGGTTAAAGAGGAGTTCTGGAGGATCGGAGATGGAGGCGTCGACGACGGTGTCGACTGCGCGCTGGACAGAGGGCGCGACTTCCGCGGCGTTCCACTGCTCGTCTTCCACGAGTTTGGCAGACTGGTTCAGCTGGGCTTGGTGGAAGTGCTGCAGGAAACTCTTCGCCTGACCGCCAAGTGAAGACATTGAGCCAATTTGTGTGGTTGTTAAAATCTCGCAAACATACCTGGCTGACAATCGTGCCTCGGAGACCAACAATCATTCGCCTGCAGATGACTTCCGACTTTACGACAAAGTCCCACGACTCGTTGAACAGCTCGCAGAAGCTCGGGAGGTCGAGCGCAGTATGTTGCTCCGCACGAATGCTGATGACCTTCGAAGCGCGCGCATTGGCCGATTCCGCCGCCGATGATAGGATGTCCGTTAGTTCTTCTTGAAGAGCTGTGATATCTACAGGAGTCTTTTGAGGTCTAATACCATCGTTAACGAATTACGAAGGGCACTAAAGATGTCAGCGTACTGGATGCTCTGGACGACTTCTATGACGATCGCGCCTTGCCGGTGCAGACCCTCTATGCAGTTCAGGAGACTTCGGTACATTCCCCGGGCGAGGTCCATGAACGCGGGATGTGTCATGGCGCGCAGCTCGGCCGCCGCATTGGACCTGAAACTTCTGTGTCGGCCCGCATCCATATATAGCTGTCAGGGGTGGCGGACTCACTGAGGTGGTATCGAGTCGTCGCCAATTTCGAGCGAAGGTATTCGCTAGGAGCAGTCAGGGGAGCAGCACTTGAAGGAGGCAACGATGTGTACTCACCCGCTTGATTGTACTTCCCACTTCTGCCATGACTACCTCTCGCCATGATAGAGTCGCCTCAAGGATACCTTTCGTACGCAGAAGAGACTGAAGCAAGGGTCGTAGTCGATCTCGTAGGGACATGTTGAAGTCGCTCTTCCTCGTTTCCGACCATGTGTGCTGGTTCGAGTCGATCCGCTCTACAAGGTCGTGACGCAAAAGGCTAACGAACTCGGAAGTCAGCGAAGACGTGATCTCCATAGTCAACGTCCGTAGGTGCTCCGGGAGCGCAGCAAACGCCCTTAGCGAAGACAGTGGTATTGAGGGCTCCGGAGGAGGAGGCGGGGGTGGCGGCGTTGCTGGAGGCGATTCCATGACCGTAGGCAAGGGGGAAGCGCGACCGTTCTTCGACGGGGTAGGCTGTGGTGAAGGGATCGGGGTAGCTTGAGCCGTGTCCCCATGGTAGAGCCGTTCCAGCTCCTCAATCATGTCCAAAGCCTCTCCCCACTGACCGGCCCCGACCAAGCTCTTCGCGATGCCGGTCATCTCCATTACACCTCCAACGAACTTCACGCCTTTGTTGACGTTGCCCAGGTTCCGCATCTTGCCCTCTTTGCGCACGATCTCCAGCCCGCGTTTCGCGCCCTTCTCGTCTACGTCCTTCAGGAGACCCCTCAGGTGAGATATGCGGTCCAGACATTGTTCAGACTCGGTCTGAAGGTCTTGGAGGTTCGCAAGCGCAGCAAAGAAGGAAGTAGACCGAATCGAGATCTCGCGGATGAGGTGCTGCTCGATGGTGTCCGCGTAGTGGGAGAACTTCTCAAGCAATGGGAGGGAGTACGAGAGGGAAGAGAGGTCGGACCACTCCTCTTCGTCCCCTTCCTGCTCAGTCACGGCATTAAACGTACGCGGGTCGCCCAGATTGAACTCGCGTTCGAAAAACACGGCAGGGACGGTCTCTAACGGAGGCAGCGCCTTTCCGGCCGGTGGCCGCGGTGTGCGTGGGGTCCGGGGAGTTGGCGGTACCTCTATGCCTGCCGACAAGTTTGCTGAATGTGCGGCATCGTCTATCTGGGCAAAGCCATCTCGGCCCTGTTCGGCATTTTGGAGAAACCGCTCCCACTCTGGAGTGATAGCGCGCAGGTAGGACTCGAAGTCTTTCCGGCGCACACGCGGGAGGTCGGCTGGAGGCACAGCGGGGAGCGCGGAGTGGGCCTTGGGCGGTGCAGACTTCTTGTGCGGATTGTTCACCACATTGGAGATAGCTAGGAGGGTTGAGACTATATAGCACATACGGAAAGTACGTTGGCAGACATACCATTGAAGCCGTGTTTGGAGCTACTCCAGTCCGCTGGAAGGGTACCCTGGGCCAGGGAAGTTACGGAGGCGTTGCCGAAGACATCAAATGGTGCACCAGCACCAAGGAAGTCTCCTCTCCCTTCAGTGGTTTCTGAGACACTTCCTGGGCCTGGGCGCCGTTGGTCGTAGTTGAACCTGTACGAGCGGGATGCGGCAAACACAGGAAGCACTCCAATGGGCGAAGCGGGACGCGAGGGAGTCGACGAGTAGTCGGACATGAATCAAGTATAACTAGGACCAGCGCGAGTCTGAACGTTCCGCCAAAGGCACAGGTGCAGATATCCGTGTTAAGCAGCCTCAGAGTAGCATGAAGTCCAGTAAAGCGGTCAGAGGAGAATGAGTCGGATGGGAGAGCTGCTGTCTGGGACTGAGAGCGTTACACCAGCGCATCTATGGGCGCCTCCGCGCCATTCGGTCATTGGGCGCCTACACATGTGGTCGTCCATTGCTGCAAGCGCTCGTATGCACCTCCTCCAAGCAACGGGAACATGGCGAGTGCACTGTCCCTCTCGCTCCCCGCCCCCCTCCGCCACTTCTTCGCCCTCTTTCCTCTCTATACCCACCCAGCCATCCATACTCCTGACAGGGCGCTCCCAATCACTTCGCCCACACTCTGGATACACGTTCCTTGGAGCCCCGACGCCGATGTGCTAAGCAGCGACGTCGAATGTCTCAAGTGGCAAGCATACCTCGCCCTCCGCGGCCTCTTAGACATCTCAGTGCGCTGGGATGTCCCCGTTGATGGCGCGCTTGACGCGCGGCTCCCCAATCTCCACATTCCGCTGAAGACGCTGCCTGGCGCATCGGACGAGGTCAAGGCGTCAGAAGACGGCGAGGGCGAGCTCCTCCCCGCGCACCTGATCCCGGAATGGGTCGACGGACAGACTGGTGCTTTCGACGAGCTCGAGGGGTATGCGGACGAGGCGGCGAGGGACGAGAGTCGCGCGTGGGTCGCGCTTTTGGAAGGCAACGTGCATGCTGCCCTGGTACGCTCTCCGTCCCTCCGCGCCTTCTGGCCGCCGCTTGACCGGTCACATATTCACAGACCCTCAGCCAGCCCTCTTCGTCGTCATTGTTCAGTCTTCTATTACCATACCAAAATCAAGGGCGTCCGCTGGAGGCAGTCTTGCCACATCCGCCTGCCCCGCTCTTTGGCATTAGTTCCCTCCTTCCTGCCTACGGCACGCACGTCAACGTGGAGGCTGTTGAACAGCAATACAAAGATGCCATTGCGTCTCTCTCAGAACGATTGGGCACTGACAAGTGGTTCCTTGGCTCGTCGTAAGCATGCACGCACTGTCTCTCCGCTTCCCTGCTGCCGCTCACCGTCGTATAGTTCGCCAACAGCGCTCGACGCGCTCGTGTTTGCGTACCTTCACTGCATTCTGCACTCAAAGGACCACACCCTCCGCTTCGAGGTCACCCGGCGCGTCAACCTCGTCGCTTGGGAACGCCGCGTCCAGAGCCAAGTCCGCGGCGCGTTTCGGGCCCGCTCCGTCATCCAAGCATCGTAGATTCATACTGTATGTTCAATGAATGTGTCTCTATTTTGAAGTACTGTATGCGCAGGCTTGCGAGGAAGAAAGCTACTAGGTACGTATCTTGTACAATCTCGACATTTCTCTGATACGCCAGGCCCCCACTACTCCTTCGAGACGCGGGAACGCTTCCGCATTCCCTGCTGAGGCGTGCTAGACGCGCCGTCAGTCAACGTGCTATTCATTGACGACGGATTGCTTCCTGTGGCATTCTGGATGTTTGGCCGCTCAAGGATCGTGAAGGTCGAGCTTTCGAAGCACGTGACGGAATCGTCAGAGGACCTCGTTGAGTTGTCCGATGCACTGGGAGCAGCGCCAGTACTAGAGCTGGTCGCCGTGCCCGTCGTCGTCGTCGTGTCAGTCGTAGCGCTACTGGTTGTGTCGACAGTGGTCGTGCTGCTGGTAGGGCCGTCGGTTGACGTACTAGCCGTGGTGTCGACAACCCCCATGCTGGTCCCGTCGCAGTCAGTGTCCGTATCCGCTGCTGTGGCTGAGGCGGAAGAATCAGTGACGGGAGTGGACGTGAGGGTGCTGGACGACGTCGATGTTGTGGCGGGGGCGGCTGCGGTGTCGGTGGTGGAGTCCGTGGAAGTGGATGTCATGGTTGAGTCAACAGCGTCCGACTGCATCCTTCGTCGAACCTCTGGCATGGTAGAAGTCGAGGCGGACGAGGTGGCCAAAGACGTGCTCGAGACGCTGCTCGTGATGGATGAGACCGACGCGGCTGAACTCCCGGACGTCGCCGTTGACGCGGAGTTCTCAGGGGCCATGGACCCGGTAGCGGTAACGGAACTGCTGGGCATGCCACAGTCCATATCTCCAGAAGAGCTTGTGGTGACAGGGACGGTCGTGTCGTTGGCGGTCCCCTCGACCGGTGACGATCCGTTGAAAAACACTGGGGGAATGTGAGTGCTCACTCTTGCTCTAGGCAATATCTTTTCTCGCGCTCACTTCTGATCTGGTAGTCTGTCCCGTTCATGACCCACGGGACGGTGACCTCCACGCGACCAACCGTGAGGTCGAAGTTGGTAGCAAGGATCTCTACATGCAGAATCGCTCTCGATGAGAGTGATGCCTGCAAGCGGCGACGCCGATACGTACCTGCAGTGTCTTGACCATTCTTGTACAGTCTGATGATTGGGATCCCGGTATCAGCAGGCAACTTTGTTATGTCCCTGTGGCATTCTTCAGTCCTCCAGTTAATCCTTCTGCAAGTAACACTCACCAAGTCACGTTGTGCAGATAGTCCTTGTACCAGATGGAGCTTGCATTGGGGTAGAGGATAGGAGGAGTACAGCTCGCCGCGGCGTGATGGACGGCGACTACGAGTAGGGACAGTAGGCGAGCGAGGGTTTTTACGGTGCACATTGCGAACGCGGCTGAAGTATGCAGGGAAGATTCAAGGTATGTGGCGACACTTTCTCAATAGTGATTTGGGCTGTTCACGCTGAGCTCTCGTCTGTCTTTTGAAGTAATCGGGGGCGCCCTCAGTAATCGTGTTATTGTACGATGATCCAGCAACGGAGCAGCTGCATGAACAGAGACGGTCTCCACACTCCATTCCTCTCGATTACCGCCCGGTTGCTTCAGTCCTTCAGCGGTGGCGCCGCGCACCGTGCTACAATAACCAGTTGGTGTTCCTGTGCAACATCTCTCTGACGTCTTCCTAGGACATTGGCATGCTTGTGGGGCAGCCGTAGGAGGGGTAGTTAACATATTGCACTGGTATCCGAGTCGCGGTTGCTTATCACCACCCATTCCAGTTCAACACCGTATTCGAGCAATATTGACCGGTGCGTGACGTCCTAGTGGACTTTCTTGGCATTGTAAGGGAAATGTGAAAACGGATAATGCAACCGCTCGGTCGTAGTCTACCTACAAGTCTCTTTCATCTGTGAATCAAGGCGTTACGATACTGGTAAGCGCTTGTATATATGGGTCAGATTGAACTCCGATCTTACTTACGTAGCGCAAGCCCGGCAGTGCAACCCACCCGTTCTCCCACCATCTTGACTCGAATACAGTAGGACTTCTGCGGTTCACAACATTCCGCACTGCACGTCGTCTGCCGCTCCATGACTCTCACAGTGAGTATATCGATTGTACTGATGGCGGAGTAAGCTGATCCATTGTTAGGATGGCGACCATCCACTTGGAGTTACGGGGCCATCTAGTCTTATCGACCTGCATTCCGATATTTGGATTCACGTCGCAACATTCCTTCCGACACCAGCTCTGGCAGCGCTCATGCAGACATCGAGCCATCTTGTAGAACTTGCGGCCTCTGCCCTTTGCACTCGCACAAAGGACACTCCTCTCCGGCGGGCGCTCGATGTAGTCTCCTTCTACCACTTCCTCCGTATCGGGGACTCGATATCTCGCCGCGCTGCTCGAGTCAAGGTTTTGCGGTTTGAAATTGGAGACGCAGCCGATCTCTACCAGCTCCCCGATATCAGTCCAGGTGAGGTCATCAATGCTTTCACTGAGATCTTGCACCACTGTCGAGATCTACGCCGCCTTCAGATGATCCAGTGGTATTACCAAGTGCCTCCATCCCACATCTATCGCTCTATCTCGCATTCTGGGCTCCTCGAAGAGCTAGAACTGAATGTCGTGGAGGAGGTGGAGGAGGAAGACGTCCTCCAACTCGCGAACCTCCCATTACGAACGCTGCTGTGTTCGTCGACCGCTCGAGTGTCGTCAAAGCCTCGAGACTATGCTGTGCTGGGAACGGGGCCATTGGCGAGAACGCTCGTGGAAGTCCAGCTCCCTTTGCCCGCGCATGCCTGCACGCTACTTGGGGCAACTTTCAACTCCGTCCGCAAGCTCCGGATCTCGGTACCCAGGCACAGCACATTTGTGAACGATCTCCGAATCACCTTCCCCAATATCTCCCATCTCACTCTGCTTGGCCAGTGTCCGTGGCATGATCCTCGCCGTCCATGGGCTAGCCGACATGCGGAGGACGGCAATGACGTGATACGGCAGGCGCATCAACAACAATGGAAAGACGATCCAAACATGTTGCCTGCTCTGAAGTACGTTCGCGTTGAGGACCCTCGCGCAGCCTATATTCTGGGCCTTAACAAGCCAATCTCGTGGATCTCAATCAAATGGTTGTCGTACACACCATCACATATCTTCCCCGATGTAATTGCGCATACCCACCCTACTTCATTGGAATTTGTGTTGGACAACCCTAACTATCGCGGGTCCTTGTTAATCGACAATGGGCCTTTTGGTGGATTGCAAGAGCTAGCTGACAGGCCAGGCGCAGTCTCGTCTTTGCGGTGTTTGACCATACATTTTCGATGTTTCATGATACCCTCGGTCGAGCGCGATCTGGACGAGGCTCTCGTATGTTTGCAATCCGTATCTCGGCATGCAGAATCTGACTTGAACTTCCTGTTGTCTAGGACATGCTCGAATCCGTCTTGAGACACCTCCCTATTTCTCATCTGATGCTCAAGCTCGACACCGGGCCTGTGTATCCTGACTTCCTGGACTACATCAAGGAGACCTACGATCCGCAAGAAGGAGTTGAGATTCTAGATGCCGCGGAAGGATGGGCAGAGCTCATGGCCGAAGCGTCCAGTGGTTCGGAGTGTACGTTCCGAAGGACCGCGTTCGCTGTTGGGAGCTCTCTCGTCAGGTCTCTGGCGGAGAGGGAGTCGAGTCGATAGTGATACTGCACGAGATGGAAGAAGATCAGGCTTGGGAACTGCTTTTGGGGGAGCAATTGCGAGAGTTTATCTGATCTTTCTGAGCATATATGTATATGTAGCCTCTTACGTACTCGTTATATGTCGATCCTTGACACGTCTAGTCGTATGAAGAAGTCTTGCTCGCATACAGAGCATTGCGTGCTCTTTTGTAGTTCCTTAATGATGCAGCTAGCCTGTGGTTGGACACGTAGAAAGATACGAGATTCGGAGGCGGACTCTCACCTGTGGCAGAAAACATGTCCGCACAGTGTTGCAACGGGATCAACGCATGCCCCCCGCCCGCAAGACCCACATTGCCAAGATGTAGCGAAGCTACTGGAACTATGAGTTTCCTGTGGGCCAAGGTGAGAGCAGCTCAGTGTAATCATTGTATCTACAGATGTACCTTTAGCTGAGTTGTTCCACCGGACCGATTATATAGCTGGTCGTCGGCTTCCTCGGCGATCTGGGGATATACAAGCTTTCGTACATTCACCTCCCTCTGGATCAACGGGTCCTAAAAGCACATGAGCGCCTGGGGAATCTCGAAGGCGATCATCACCAGCCGCACACCGGAGATACGGTATTGCGATATGGTGGGTGTACTGAGCTGTCTCGTCGAATGTTCTGTCGCAAACAGGGCAGACGAAACCTATCCCCGCAGTATAACCAAGTTGACAGACATGCTGCCTAGCTCTATGCAAGCTAGTAAAATCCCTTCGGCACTGGTAACAGCGAGTCGGCGGCATGGAAAAGAAAAGTCGGCTAATGGGAACGTGAACGAAGATGCGCCTTACGATGTGGAGGTATTATAGCCACAGCAGAACCTACCGCAGCACCAGCCATTCCGACTCCGATCTAGTTGACAAGTCTCACGCTGGAGGTCGCGAACAATGTACGACAAGGTCACGAGATCTTTAGGCACCACGGAAGGAACCCAAGAGAGACCAGGTTGTCTGATGGACGACCGTTAGCTCCGACAACGGATATAACCCATCATGAACGCGCATGAAATACATATTATATGTTCAATCGTACAAAGAAGATATGATTGCAGACAGGACAGCGCATCTTGTCTCTGAGCTCTCGTATCAAGCACCTGCAAGCATGAGATGAGATCGCATCTCCGTCAGCAAAGGTATCATCCTACTTACTCCTGACAAAACAAGTGTCCGCAAATGGTAGTGACAGGATCAATGCATGTCTCGCTGCGGCAAGATCTACAGTGCCATGACGGGGTGTTCGAATCCGATGAAGTGGAATCGTAGGGTGACTGAGGGAAACCCGTGTCATCAACGGTGATGACTGTAGTACCGTCAGGGGTATTTACTTCCGACTTCACCTCTGATTGCAAGGAGTTGCCCCCGGATTCAAGCGACTGCGCGGAGAGCATTGCAGGACAGGATGTTTCATGCTACTCAGCTCATCGGACAGCCCGTTGTTCGTATGAGTAACGTTCGAGGATTGAACCCTTGGATTACTGACCTGGGACAAGCCGGCGGCGTCCTCGAAACCAATCTTGCATTCTTTACATTTCGGATGCTTCTGGGAAGTCCACCAGTGGTCAGGCAATGTCTCCTTGGCGTCCAAGCAGATGCTGCATGAAGGGCAAGACAAAACGCTCATCACATGCTGCAATCAGGTTGTCAATTCCAACTCCTGACGTTGACCAAATTGAGGCTGACCTGAGCCAGCTCTCTCCGACTCGCAAACCGTAAGTTGCAGGTGGGACACGGGATAGAAGCATCAAGGCATTGAGTATGAGAGCCACCAATAGGGTATTCCTGACCACACTGAGCGCATTTATTGAGGAAGGGAGTAATGAGGGGGTGCAAGATTCGGTGATGCTGCGTAACTCGCGTATTAGAACCCAACAAGCGTGGCATCAGAATCAACGGTACGTACTCTCAACAGTTCGGAGGCCGAGGCAAAATAAGCTTGACACTGGGCACACGCCAACCTTTGCCGTGCATGGTTTGCGCCCCATACATGTTCGTTGTAGGACGCCAACATCTTCAAGATTTCGTCGCACTGGCCACACCAGAAGCCGACGCCGCCAGTGTGGCCGACCGAAGCAGCATGTCTTCGAGCTGCTTTCTTGGTAGGGAATTTTTCATTGCAGTCCTTACATCGAGCTACAGGTGTCAGTGATTGTGGAGGGTTCATCATGGAAGGAATTGGAGGCGCGTGCCGGCTACCGCAGCACGAGTTCCCTCCCGTGGGAAGCGGGCCGATGAAGGCACGGACCGATATGTTTGCCGCAACGGTGTCTCGAGTACGGCAGACCGATAAAACTGTCCGGTGCGGGTTTCACTGATCCATTCCACCTACAGTCTGCTTAGGTGAGAGCACCGCGTTGACGAGGGGCGCACGTTCCATCGTGATGGCTGTTCTTGTCAACATCACATTCAGAGCGTCTGCAGATAGTTTTTTATCTACACTCATGACCAAGCTGAGCTGAGCATCCGTCTACGACGCAACACTGCCCCTAAGCCAGGCGGATACCTCTCGTGTTGTGTCGAGCTCGGCCGAAAATGTGCGAGACACCTAGTTCCTAGTATGCAAGCGAATGAAGAAGGCTTTCTTGCAAACAGGGCAGCGCATGTTCTCGCCGAGCTCCTGTACTATGCATCTAGAAAGGCACTCGAAATTTATGATGTCGTGGGACTGTCGCGGAAGGATATTTGCTTACCTGTGACAAAAGATATGCCCGCAGACTGTAACAACGGGTTCGATGCACACCTCCCCGGTGCATAGTCTACAATGCCAAGATAAAGCATCGGCTTCTGGCCCAGATGCAGTATCGTGAACTGTGGTTGACGGATCGTCTGCGCCAAAGCGAACAGATGGTGTATTGGCCTCCGCAGTTCCCGTGTCCGACTTCATCTCGCTTCGGCTGGCTTTTGACGATCTCAGAGAGAGCGACGTCGGACAGATGGCCTTATGCTTGAGGATATCTTTCGTCATTTGCATCACGATGTATGTTGGTCGACACCCACCTGGGACCATCTGCTCATATCCTCAAATCCGAGCTTGCAATCGTAACATTTCGGGTGGTTCATGGATATGAGCCAGTGCTTAGCCAACCGCCCTCTGAACGTGCAGATATTGCATGTAGGACAAGGCGAGGACTCTTTGACGTGCTGAGAACTCTTAGAGAAGTACAAGAGGCGTAGGAAGGGACATGAACGCACCTCTGCAAGCGCCGCGCCGGTCGAGAATTGTCGCTGGCAGTTGGGGCAGCAGACCGGATTGTCCAGGCATTCCAGGTGCGCCTCGCCAGTGGTCGTTTCCTCTCCACACACAAGGCATTCATTCGCTCTAGGTGGTGATTGGAATTGCGTGGTATCACGGTGCTGGAAAGGAAGCTCGTCAACCTCCACGGTACCCGCAATTTATCTGCTGCATACACGACTTACTACTGCCAGTTCGTGCTGAGTGGTGAAGTGTTCCCCACGAGCAGAGCCCGGCACGTGCTCGACTCTCCGTGGATGTCCCGTCGACGGTACATGATCTCGATATTTTTTCCACTTGCCAACAAAGCCGCACTCGTCGCAGTAGTAACCGGTACCCGCACTGTGGCCTGTGATACGACCGTGTTCTCTTGCCGATTTTCTGTCCGGGAATAACTCCTTACACTCTTTGCACTGAACAGGAGGTCGGGACATGGGGGCGAGCAGACGTGAAGAAAACCTATGGAATGGACAGATCGCAGAAACTGGGATAGGAGCGCCGTGTTCTACCCCTTGGGACGTTACCGCAGCAAGGACGGCGGGGACCTTTCACGTGCATGAGAGCCAAGGGCTAGGCCCTAGGAGAAGCGGAACATGAGGTGACGAATGAACTCAGACACACATCTCATGATCCATTACATCGCGGATAGCGAGTGAAATAGTGCATGACATAACATGGCACGTAGGGTTGCGCTGCAAGTCTAGGAATAGACTGGCTAGGCCAAAGACACACCGAGGAAGGTCACCCCGATGGTGACAAGTGTTCGTACTGAACAACAATCATGTGAATACTTTCGACACAGCCAACTCGTCTTCCTCCAGCCTTCTGAGGTCCTTGCGCAACCCACGCTCTGCCTGCGCATGTTTCCGATTGCCGTACTTGTCGCCCTTCTCACGCTTCAATGCGGATCGGACTGCCGCAGGCGTAACGAATTCTACCGCGGTAGTCATGAGCATGGAGACGCAGTGCAGAGGGAAGGGAGAGGGGGCGCACCTGGGTTGGAGTATACTGTCGCGCCGCTGAATGCGCCCTCGAAGATACGAATAGGAGTCAGGACGAACCGGGGCCCTATCTCGGTGAGAGACATCTGGGGTGGCCCGTTGGGCTGTAACGGGTCCTTCTCGATAATCTACAGAAATGAAGGTGGGGCGAATCCGTTTGCATAACCTTGTCCCCGCACGTCACCGGTCGGCACTGACCTGAAAGTTACGGAACCAGATCTTGCTGTCGAGAATGGAGAAAGTGAGAACATGGTCGATGAAAGGTTTTGCTTTTCGCGCTTGTGGTGGTACGCCGAAAATCTGCAAATGCGCACGCTCGCAAGGATGCCCATGTGTGGAAAAACCGAACTTACGTGAGTAAACACCTCCTTCGTTAGCTTCCCCCACTCGCTCTCGTCGAATGCCTTGTCGAAGCTCAGAATTCCTCTGCTCCCCTTCAAACAGTTGCCCGTCATTTTGAGCTCGTCCATGGTGTGGATATTTTGTACGTGTAGCTTGATGCTCGGCCCGTTCGGCGTCTTCGCGGCCCACATGTATAGGTCTTCATGGCGCCGCGCCTCAAAATACAGAGTATTGTTACAGTTGTTGAGGTCGGCTAGCTCGGGAAGAAGGTGCAAGTGATTTTTGGAGTCCAGCTTCGAGTCTGAAAGCGTCATGTCAGTACACTTACATGCCCGCAAACTTTTGCAGGACGGACCTTTCTTCACATGTGGCAACAAAGCCTCCAAATCATTCATGAGATGCCTCATGCGATGGTTGATCCCGCGCGAGGAGAGCATGAGCACTCTCTGTTTGTTCCTAGGCTTCTTCATGACGGGACCATGGTCTTGGTCAATCTCCATGTCATCTGCATTGCGCTTCCCCTTCGCCTTTCTCGACTCTTTCAACAGAGACGCCATTTCCACAGACGCAGAGAAGGTCGGACGAGACAGGTAAGATCGGAGGGAAGGATATTGTGTACGCGGAGGAGACGGTGCAACAGACGCTCATTCAACTTTTCGTTTTGTTACGTAAGCGACTCTTATGAGCGACCGGTTTAGCGGCGCGAGTGCACTCCGGAAACCACGGACTGCTCTTGCATATAACCACTGCCACACCTGCCGCTCTTCTTGCTCGTCTTCTAGCCAGTCACGACCGTAATGCCAACTTTCCGCTGTAGTATCTGTCTCGACTCTCTTGATGATGCTAAGAAGCCGATGACCACCTTATGCGGCCACATCTACTGTCTAGACTGCGCGACTTTCCACCTTGCGCGTATGGAGCAGCCTTCATGTGCGGTCTGCCGCAAAGCGCAACCTCTAGACCAGATGATTCGCTTGTATCCGGATTGGGAAGACAGCGAGCCGCGTGGTGACTCACGCACTGCAGAGGGAGGCGTCTCCGTCTCCTCCAGTCCAGTGTCCGTTCGGAGCATTGAGCGGGCAGGAGAAGACGCGGTCGATGCAATCAAGCAAGCCATCGCGGACCGCCAGGACGCGCACGATGCACTGCTGACGTATGTAATTCCTGGGACGTTCATCGCTCGCCTGCTGATATTTTCGACAGATGCAACACTTTTGTGAACTCGGTGACTGACCGTGAACGACCACACATCAATACCGTATGCATTTCCACGCGTTTCTCACATGTCCATATCTGCTCACAATACTCCTAGCAACTCCTTCATGAAGTCTCCTTCCAATTGAGCTTGATGTCCACGGTCCGCTTTCAATACTTGGCGTCTCCGACATTCTCACCCTGATACGATTTCTAGAAAATGAAGGATGACAATGATCGTCTCAGGCGGCTTAGAAGCAATGCGCAAAATGCTCGTGCAAACGAAGCGTATCTTCGTTCACAAATACAACAACACCAAGCCACCAATGAGAGGCTAGAGAAGGAGAAAAACTATCTCCAGTCGAAGATCATCCAGTTAGAGGATCGTATCGCCCTCCTCGAGCGCCAATGTGGCCTTTCAGCCGAGGATGCGGGCCGTCAGCGTGTCAAGGCTGGCAAGGCCCAGAACGAGCTTGAAGAAGTCAAGCAACAATGTGACGAGTGGAGGCAAGCCGCAGTCAGGGCGAAGAAAAAGGTGCGCTAAGTGTTCCCATGGTTTTCCTGGCTGACATTGTAGCTTGTAGTATCATGCTCTGAGGAACAAGATAGAAGAGACGAAACGGGCTGCCCGACGCGGTCCCTCGAACGATACCTCGGACGATTTGGTTGTCGCTTGAGTGTGGACGTCTAACTGGAAAGTCATCAGACTTTGACTCGTATATTAATCATCACTGTACCCTGACATCGGTACGCTCTACTGTCCCCATATACCCAATGTTGCACGGGGGTTCTACTGTATAATCTACGTCTATGCGCCTCCTCAAACTCCTATGTTCTCGCTATCATCCCATACTACTCGTTCTGCTGCCGTTGGCGCTGAACATGCGTGTTAATCCTTGGTTCGAAGTAATTGGCGGAGAAGTTGCGACTGATCACGTTGTCCACACTGTGAACTACAAGTACACAGAGTACTGATATGCATCACAGTCGTGGCCACGCCGCAAGCACGCTTGGCTGTCGGCAAATTCCGAGCCTCCGCCCATGCAAGCGCGAAGGCGGCGGAAGGGCAAGCACCCACAGAACCGAATACACGCTCTTGCCTCTCGCACCTCTCGCACACTCCCTTCAGCTGTCCGAGTTTCGTGATGTCCATGTTCATTTGCGCCATATGCCTCGACACGGTCCACAACAGGATACCTATGTCGACCTTGTGCGGACACATCTTCTGTTCTGAATGTGCAGTGTCCCACTTCGCACAGACTCGCCCGATCTGCCCCACCTGCCGCAGGCCACAGGCCTTCGAGCAGCTGATCCGTCTCTATCCTGAATATGGCCACGCGTTAAACGACGCCGCCGACATGCCACAGCCACAAATATCTCAAATACCACAGCCGCCCTCAACATATCCGTATAACCCACAACCGAATACTCCAACTCAGCCACCTCAGCCCTCCACACCTTTTCGCACCCCTCCTCCTGATGTCGCTTTACTACGCATCTCTCTTCGACACTCAGCGCACTTTCCCTGGACACAGGCGGGGATCCCGCCGACGACCGACAAGGATCGGTCGCCGCTCTTCCTTGGAATCGCTGACTTCAGAGATGGCATGCATCCCTGCAAGATCAGGCCCAGCAACTATCCCATGCTTTGGGTTTCCTATGGGGGGAAAGAATACCCATATCGCGGGGTGGGTTTCCTCCTCCCATTTGATCCCACCACGATGGAGTGGGTCCCGGCGGCCGACGGGCGAATCCCCAGCGGGAGGCGCCCTGTCGAAGGCGGATATGAGCGCATCGGAGGGCAGAAGCTCTACCATGCTCTTGCTGTGGTGGAAGGCGTGAAAACACCAGGAAAGACTGGTGAACATATTGTGAGCTTTCAGCTGTCTGTCCTCGTAAGAGCTCGGAACGGAGCGCTGACTGAGCTGGGTGTACAGAAGGGGGCCAACGTGTCGTTTGCCGACCGCGAGCATCACGTTCGCAACTATGAGATATTGTGAGCGGCCGTCTGCGAGACATCAATTGCGCACTACATGCTAATCGCAAGCTCGCAGGTGTTGGCGCGATTGCTGAGCGCCTCGTTACGTGGCGCTAACCTACACCCCGACGATGCGCATTCTACGGCACTGCTGCCATAGCTAAACACGAAGGAAGCCGCCTCATCCAGCGATCGCGTGGACGTCGATGGCCCCTAGTCCGTCTACTCGCAAGCACCTTGCTTGTCGCCCCATAATTGTCTGACGATCTCTCGTCACCTGCCTCAGTCTTGACTCCATTCCTGACATATGGCTTGCATGTTTCGCACATTGAAGAAGGAGCTTGAAGTGTCGGCCACCGGATTCTTCAGTTATGCAATCTCTTGATGCAATCATGTCTTGCCGTCTCGCTCATTGTGCTTGAATAGTATAGGCTGTACTCTCCTCCTACTGCGTGGTTCGTGACATTGTGGAAGCAGCTTCTTCTGTCAACAGAAACGGACACTAAAAATAAGGAGACACTATGCAGAAGCTTATGGACACCATCAAGGGTCTTTCTCGGACGCGCAGACGATCGAGAAGATTGAGAGGACACTTGCGGATTGTTCTCTCATCTCGGTCAGAGATGGAAGCTTATCGATGGGTGCAATATATAAATTGCTTCCTGACGAGGTATGTTTACTTTGGGCTGTGGCTGCATGCGGTTAACGTACTCGTTACACAATGACTGCCAGTTCAGAGGGCCGGACGTGTGGACCTCCTTCGACTTCCAAGCTGAGGACCCTGCAAAGCCCATTCAAAGCAAGAGCCACCTCAAGGCGAATGCACGTAAAGGCTCCGCCTTCTTCGTTCATTTCCGGTCCTTCGATCTTGGGCGCGGAGTCTGTGCTGTTCACGAGAACGTTTCTTGTCTATCGCAGAAGCATTCTTCATACGAACGTCAGTTCCTAGAGAGAAGTCAGGTGTGCGAAGACCAATCATGCCCTTCCCCATCTTGTTCCTCCAATCGCATGAAAGACTCCAGCCGCTAGAGATGGGCGAGCCTGCGTGGGCCGGAGCTTCGAGGTCAAGGGTTAGCAGCCTAGCAGTACAACATACATAAACCCCTGACTCTGATATTCCTCTCTTTCACCCCCTATCAATAACGCACCGGTGATGTCCTCGCTCATCTGTTCCATCTGTCTCGACACGCTGGAGATCAAGAAACCCATGTCGACCACTTGCGGGCACACTTCTGTTCTGATTGTTTGACATCTCACTTCGACCAGACGCCTCCGATTCTGTGCCCAATCTGTCGCAGGCCGCAAGCCGTCGACCAAGTCGTCCGCCTGTTTCCCGTGTACGGGCACGAATGGAACGACGGGAAGAATCCTCCTACTCCCCAGTCCGACATCTCCCCAACACCGCGGCAATCGGCGCGCGTGCTCAATCCGAGTCATCCTGATGCCTCCTTGCTTCGCATCTCTCTTGATTCGGCAACCTTTCCCTGGACACGTGTCGGGATCGTGCCAACGACAGACAAGGACGGATCCCCGCTCTTCCTTGGGGTCGCTGCCTTCGAAGATGGCATGCATCCCTGCAAGATTCAACCTAACAGCTACCCCACAAGCTTGGTTTCGTATGACGGTAGGGAGTACATGCATCGGGGGGAGGCGTATATCCTTCCCTTCGACCCTACAAGGATGGAATGGGTCCACATGGCTCATCGCCGGTTTCCGCTTGGAAGGCGCCCTGTCGAGGGCGGATATGAGCGTGGTGGCTTGAAAAAGCTATACCACTCGCTCGCCGTAGTCGAAGGATTCAAGATCCCTGGTAAGACCGGGGCGCATATCGTGAGTTTATACCACGCGTCCGTGAGCTGAATAGAGCGCCGCTGACTTTGTTGCTTTACAGGATGGGGCTAATGTGTCATTTGAAGGTCGTGAGCTCCACATTGATGATTACGAATTTTGTGAGCATCCACGGACTTCCCAAATACTTGTATTTATGTGATATTCAATCTATCGTTCACAGATGCTGGCGCGACTGAACGTTGTTTACTGGTGTGTCACAGATATGCTCTCACAACACAAGCACAGTCACGCTAGGTAGATGACGATATACCAGGGAATTTGATCAAGTCGTTACTAGGTCGCTGGACATTTCAGAGAGACGTCCGATGACTCAGGAGGCCCGAGCAGTGTGCGTGGCTTATTCGTCGAGGCCCTGATGACGATTGCACCTAACACCCCCATCCTTCACCTGCCAACGGACTACCCAAGCACGTATATTTGTATTGTATTCACATCGCGATGAGAAACGTCTCGAGTCATCTCGTTGGGTTCATTCTAAGATAACGACTGTGGAAAAGACGATGTGACGACAATTTGAAGAACTGTCGGATGCATTGCTACCATTTGATGAACAACCATGTGAAAGCCGCATGGCGTGTGGATCGTCGGGCAGACGTAATGCGGATATTCAAAAACCTTGTTTCAATTAGCTCCCAAAACCACAGAGCTATCACCTGTCTGTTCAGTTTCTGATCTCGAACGTGCGGCCGGAACAACGCCTAGCGACTAGTTATCAAGGTTCAATCTCTGCTATATGCTTACCGGTCGATTTCTCGGGTTCTGAGTCTTTAGACCAGGCCGTGTGGCGAGCCTTGATCAGGCCATGATACCACAACTACAAGCCTTGACCCCTCCGGTCCATCTATATTCTTCGGCGTTGCGGGCCGCCCTTCCAGTTATGAGATTATCACCGCTGTCAATTGTGGACTCCTCAAGGGTAAAACCAACTTGTGAAGAACTGATGCTTCATATGATCTGCGGCGCGGACAGGCTGCGGCAGGTAGAATGAGTTTAGCATAAGTATAAGAGATTGTGCAGTTGGAAGCTGTGCTGCACGAAGCCTCCTTGTACGTCTACCTCTGCTGTCATCTTTGACCTGCCGCATGCCCTCTCTCATTTGTAGAATATGCCTCGAAACGCTACACGAGAAAACCATGGTGACGACGAAATGCGGCCATATTTTCTGTTCTGCCTGCGCGAGCGTCGTCTTCAAGCGGGGTCGCGCACCATGTCCCGTATGCCGCAAACCGCACACTCACGGTCAGCTGATCCGACTGTTCCCCGAGTGGGAATCGTCAGAGGACGAGGACGATGGCAAGGACGACAGCGAGGACGAGTACGAGTACGACAACGACGGAGCTCCAATTCACAGCGACACCAGAGTCGACCATGCGCCCGTTCCTATCCATCCTGCCATCACTCATCCCGAACCTGTGCCCGTTCCAGTCCACCCTGTCATCACCCATCCCGAACCTGCGCCCGTCCAATATGTCCCTGATGTCTACGTACCCCTGGGCGACCACTCGGAATTCCCATGGCGGCTTGCTGGAGAAGTCCCAGCATGGGATGGGGACGGGACACCTCTCTACCTCGGCACCACGCTGTTTAATGGCGGCTGGCACCCCTGCAAGATCATGCCGTACAATTCCATTAAGGCGAGGGTCTCCTATGGAGGGAAGGAGTACGAGAACATAGGGATCTGCCATCTTCTCCCCTTCAACGCTGCGACAATGGAATGGGTCCCGACGAGTTGTGGTCTTCTGCCGTACGGAAGGCGCGCCATAGAAGGAGGATACGAAGAGATAGGCGGAGAGATGTTCTACCATGCGCTGGCTGTGGTGGCCGGAGTGAAAGTCCCAGGAAAAGCTGGTCCTCACCTTGTAAGTGGCGTCGAACTTTGATCGAGCAATGCTCAGCATGGTGACTGTTCCGCTTATGGGTAGACCTGTGGCGCGAGTGTACCATACGCTAATAAGGAATATATTGTTCCTCACTATTTCATCCTGTGAGTTTACGCTCAGAGTCAGCGTCATAACGAGTCTCCGGCCTGGTACTCACATTTTCATCAGATGTTGGCGAGATTGCTAGACCGCCTGTATTAGTCCCCAACTCGTATCGCCTGTAGAATTCTGTGTCTGCGAAGATCAATACAAGCAAGATCGGACGGACAATGATCCAAAAGAGCAAAAACCTGATCGCGAAAAGGCGGCATCAACATAAAGCCACCACGCTGAGCCTTGGTGGGCTCCCTGCGCTAGGAACCGATCCATGTCTGCTGTGGCTATGAATTACAGTCTCACAACGGCACGCCTCTGCCGAGGTGGTGGCGTTCGGAAATGAGTGCCGCAGGCTTAGGGTCCCATTGACAGCAGGTCTGGCTGGGACGAGCTGTCCGCTCGTCTGCAAGGCCGAAGGAAATCGAACAGGACGAAGTCACCAGACCATCTGGCTCGGCGCTGTGAGCCCTTCAGCCTGATCGAGGATGTGATCTTATTCACTGGTGAAGGTCTCCATAGCATGAAGAACAGAGAGATCGAGCTGCGCGTGAGCTGCGACAGCGGTCTGCCTTCGTTCGAGCGTGGTATAAGCTGCGACTGAGATTACTATTTGTCGACGATCCACGCTTCTCATACAGGCTCGGAGAACGCCGTCCCGTCCGCTCATATTTTTGAGCTCCGCATAAGGCCCCGCTCTGAATTTAGCGCCGGAGCAACGACGTTTGCTCCGGCCGCGGAATGGAAGCCAAGCGTAGGCAGCTACTAAGTAAGGTGGGCACAGCTGACTTCACAAAGGTTTTGTTTAGGTCTCAACTTCCTTGTGTGAACCGTACGATGGGCTCATGGCTTCAGTAGAGCTCATAGCGTGTACGGCGATGAAGAAGGGATATCCAGAGTAGTACAGCCGTGCAACGTGACCTCCATCAATTCCGGCCTACTAGGGAGCGATACTGGCCGTTGGAAGCAGAGCATGGCTGCACGCAGCGGTGCTCGTGAACATGATCGTAGGCAGCCACTGAGGAATGTCCGTCGTGCCTCTCCCAACACGCGTTTCATATGATGTCAAGCTCAGTTTCGGGGAGGTTCGGGTCTAGTAGCATCTACGCTCGCTTCAACTTACGCCCACAATACAGAGTCCGGCAGACATGTGGCAAATAATGATCTCCTCACAGTCAGGACAAGTACCCGCTGAAGGTTACTTCCCGTCGCTGAACTCCATGTCTGATGATTTAGATAACCGGTGGTATACTTCCCGCTTCGACTACCCCGGTACCCTAGGGTTCAGGGAGACAGCGGAGGGCTGTCCAGATAAAAGGCATCTTTCACCGGACCGACTTGCCAGATACTAGTCTTCGACCGGAACGTGCTTACGCAAGATGCACGCCGACAGGCACATGTTCAGGAAGTCGTTGCATGGCATGGTGCCATACAGTGCCGCGGTACCGCAGCACCTCGCACTCAGTTCTCATTTGACCTCCTCGCTCACGTCTGGTTCCTCAAACCCTCTCAATGGCCACCATCATCTGCAGAGTCTGTCTCGAGGCGCTCCAGGACAAGACCGTGGTCTCCACTCAATGCGGCCACCTCTTCTGCTCTGAATGCGCGGGTTCAGTCTTCTCCTACATACCGACCCCTTGCCCCATCTGCCGCAAACCGCAGTCTAGCCATTCGCTCATACGCCTGTTCCCTGAGTGGGAAACCCCCTCCGAGACCGTAACGAATACTGTTCTCGGCCAGCCGGCCGCTCGTAACGTCTCGAGTCCTTTGGAGACGCCCCACGTCGTCAGCCGTTTGGACTCGGACTCGTCCACAAGCAGCACAGCGTTTCAACCGATGAGTACAGCATCTCGACCTAGGCGTCGCGGACTCATGGAAGACGTATCAGGTACTGTTGATCCTGAGGCTCCGATCAGTACGGCGTTTCGTCCTAGGCGTGGCGTACCCATCCAATTGCCTACTGCTCGACGTAGCGTAAGCCACACGACCAGGTCACCCCCTTCCCCTTCCGACCTTCGCAGAACAGCACGGGGCTTGAATGCCGTGTACGTTGCTCGAGGGCCCCAGGTCACCCCGCCGGTCGCGGTAGTCGCAGTACAACGGGCACCTCCCGTGACCCTGAGATCACGGTCGATGGCCATAGCCTTCGCACTGTAAGATCCTGGCTTCTCACCGTGTTCTCGACATTGCTGATAAAACGCAGCGATCTTGATATCTCCCTTTCCAGGACACCAAGAGCACGGTAATCAGAGTCTACGTTCTGTCAGTGCCCCAATGTGACGATACTTCCTTGAAAATCACGCTAACCTCTCTTGAAATAGGATTACCTATGTATTCGACATAGGAACGTGAACGTATGGTCGTGCGTCATGCGCGTGCAGTGGCCATTTATTATGACAATATGTCGTGGCAATATGTCTCTTGACTGTGTACACCTTTTTCCCGTGTCTACGACGTGATCCCTGACAGCATCTGAGCTGGAATGTTTGACCCTATGGTATATACTAGGTCTTGTCCAAAGCGTTCGCATCACCCAGAATTATGTGGATTATTTATTCGAAATGATGTCAGAATTTACATGTCCTGTATGCTTCTCTCTTAGCACGCATATTGCGAGTGTAGTTGATATGAATACACAGTACATACTTACGATAGGTTAAATATATGTCCAGTGGGTCCTCGGAACTGTACATAGATCCCGTTGATGTACCCGGAGAGCCCGTGAGGGGAAGCTGCTTGCCCACGACCATCAAGTGTATATGCCTTACATGGTGGATAGAATTCACTATGCTGAGCACGCACAATTGTTTCAAAGGTCTTTCAAGTGTGAACCATGAGTTGCGTGGGGTCAGGATCACCAGGATATGAACACGAGACAACGAGGGCTGATAGCTATGGATACAACGTACTTAAACCGGGGCGAGTATGAAAGAAGGGCGGTAATGATACAAGGGTGATGTATGTCGATCTAGGACAAAGAGAGTGAGTGTACAACAGAGCAGGGATGCCAATTAGTTGCGGAACGAGTTATGAGGCAGATGTGAATGCGCGTGGACATGAATGGAGACTTGATGGAATGCATGAACACTGACAAATAACGGAGAGGAAGACGTAAGGTGCACCGGTTCACCCGCTTGTCTACAAGCGAGGGAGAGGTGGCGTCGAGTACACCACTGCCTTATGCAGCGGCGTCTGCTTACAGATCGTCATCGCAGGAGGCTCCGCCTCCTCGACACGCTGCTCTGAGCTCGTCTCCAGCGGATGCTCGCGTCCGCCATCCTTCGTATAAACTGGCAGCGGCGTCGGGTCCTCGATCCTCGCCCCGTTCTTGTGATACAGCGTGTTATACGCCGGCAGCGATTGAGCGTAAGGCTGGCTGAGCTGCGGGAGCGGCACGCGCTCCGTGAGCATGCGCACCGAACCTGCCGGGGACGTAGTCGAGAGCGGGCTTCCGGTTGCCTCGGTGAAGGACTCCGTGCGCGGGCAGTGAGGGCCGCTGCGCGGTACGCGGACGAAGCTGAGCGGAATGGTGAACTTGAGCTCGTCGAGGGCACGCTCCTTGCCCGGGGTTGCGCCATCTTCTGGGAGGTCGTACGCGCACGCGAGCGAGATCTCGAGCCTATGATACACTGTCATGATCGGGCCGCGCTCGGAAGGGCGAAGCTTGGGGAGGGGATGATCTTCATACTGCGGGAGGAGGTGCGGCTCGACGAGGATGTCGCGGAAGGGGACGTCGACGCGGACGCGAATCCACGTGTCGTCTTGCTCAAAGCGCTCGTCTTGGAAGTTCGCTTTGGACTCGTCAAGCTCGAACTTGCCAGCGAAGCCGGAATGGAGGAGAGAGTAGGAGCGAGTGGCAGAGGTGCCGGCTGCAGGGCTGAATATCATGCCGCACTCGTATTCGCGAGAATCATGGCGGCGCGTACGAATCGGATGGTTGGGAGGCTGCTCGGAGGCGGGAGGCACAGGCCACTCCTGGGCGTAATGGGCCGACATAGACGCACTATAATCATAGAGTGAGACAGCGAACAAACGCAGGAGCTTAAGACGACTCACCGAATAATCTCGTTTTGCACGACCGACACGAGGAAGCCGGGCATATGCAGCCGTTTCCGTTCGTCTGCAGACAGGCCGTCCGGACGAACCTTCAAGAGCAGAGGGAAGGACCCTGCATCCATTGGGATGTGCTCCGGGACGGTAGCACGCATTCGGAGCTTAGACAGGATCTCAGACGGAACGGTCGCACTGCCAGCATCCGTCATCGTGCCAATGTACTCCACGCTTCGGAAGGGAGCTTCGGGAAGCTCTGAGCCTGCAAGCGTACATTGCGGCGGGGGGATGGTGAACCTGTTGATCGTCACGTCGACGCCGCGGGCCTTGACCATTTGCGTGGTCGGCAGGCTCATATAGCCATAGCACGTTGTACGCCACGAGGACGGTTGCGCAGGCCTGTCTTCGCGGTACTTCGCTACTGCGGAGAGACGGTAGCTGACCTCCGGCTCGTCGGTGGAGTTGCCGTACGATGTGCCGCATGTAGGCGGAAGCCATCCTGGGATGTTCAGGTTGAAGGTCACGTACCACTGCGCAGGATTGCGTGTGGCGTCCTCTGACCAGGAGTGCCGGATCACAATCGGATCCTCGGTGATGAGCTCCTTGGAGAACTCGATAAGACGGCAAGAGGCGTAGCCAGTTTGCGGCGCCACAAGCTCGCTCTGACCCTCAAATGTGACGACAAGGGACTCGAGGAGGAAACACTCGTCTCCCTGAGGGGTCTCCGAGCAGAACCAGCTAGTAGGTGGCACGAGCTTCACAACGATTTGCCCCGATAGCGAATAAGCAGCACTGTAAGAGGGTCAATATGTCAGTGAGAATGTCCCTTGCGAGTGTCGCGAAGCCTTACTCTTTGTCGGGCTGACCGTACATGTCGATGCTGTCAAAGGGCAGGATTTCAAGGTCGACTTTACTAGGGACCATCGTGAACGAAGCCAGAGACTGTTTCAGCGAGCCGAACATTGACGAGGTCGATGAAGATGACGAAGTAGATGCGTGCTGTGAGTTGTACAGCTCATCGTACGAAGGAGGGGGAGCGTTATAAGTCATGCTGGCAGGTCAAAGCTTCAGAACTGGGTCGAAGGGCCGAAAGCTCACAAAGGGGGAAAACGGACAGGCCGTAAAGGTAAAGCGAGATGGCGGGAGGTCATATATAGTGCGTGCATGGCGTCGAGCCAGCGTACAATCGTCGGCTAGAGGACTAAAGCGATTGCCTGGGACGGGGACTCCTTTTGTTATGTCTGGCCTTTGTTGTCCAGGAATGGTTCAAGGACAGTCGCCTTAGCGCTGACGTAAGGGAGACGTCGGCTCTGGCCTCCTGACATCCGGCGGTGTGGCTTACGATACATACTCATGCATGAGCGATGTCGATTTCGCTTGGAGATATGGGTCGCCCACAATACTGTTGATGAGAAGACGTGGGTAAGAGACATGCAATCTTCGGAGTAGTTCACAGGCGCTACGCTCAACGTCGATGCGGGCGCTTGGAGGAACAATAACAACATTAATATGCTTACCTATTCCGACCCAAGTTGAATGCTTGCTGCGATGGATCATTCGTCTTGTTGAGTAGATGTTGAGTTGCAATATATCCCGGGGAACTGTGCTTGCTAGGCCCGCGTGTTCCGGGCTGGCGCGTCGAGAGCAAGCCAGCATCATCGAGCAAGTGAGCGGTGTGTTTAACATGAAGTTTGTTCGCGGAGTAATCCAACACATACAGCGACAGACGAGGACATACAAGGTCAAGATGCCCCGTCAGAGATGTTGGGGTCAAGGCGGCGAGCAGGGACGAAGATGGGATTCTCAGAGGCAGTGCGGAGAGGCGCCTTGGTAGGCCGGGTTTGGAACTGGAGACAGCAACGACTCTGCATTTGACGACCACCACCACGAGCCGCTGTCGTGGCAGCCTTCGCGTCCGTCGTCCTCGTCGCGCTTGGCAGTGAGCTCTGCCCCAGGTACGTCCCATGTTCGGTAGCTCCGTGCCTCTACCCTTCCTCCCCCTCCTTACCGTCCCCACTGCGTTGCGCCAGACATATACACATCCATTCCGATATCCCGTCCCAAGCCTCCATCCCCGTCCCAAGCACTCCGCCCCCTTCCGTCGTGTCCACTACCCCCGAGGCCCTGAGGTTCCCATCTGTGCATACCTGACCACACCGTTGTTTCTCGAATAATGCCAGAAGCCGACATCACCCGCAAGCGCTCCCGATCGCCCTCGGACAGCGACCAGCCCAAACACAAGCGTGCCAACACTGGCGTTTCGAATGACTCCCATCGCTCGAGCCACTCTTCTGCCGTGGCCGGTGACGTGAAGATGGAATCTCGCGCAGACGATACTGCGGCCTCCACTCCCGATGCTAAAGGTCCATCCGACGCTGCAGCCTCCGGCGATGGGGCGGAGTCCCGTGGTGATTCTGCGACGGCTTCTACTGCTCCTGGGGGAACTGGCTCTGGCTCGACCCCTGCGGCCAACATTCACATGCGCTGTCTCATCGTCACCCAGGATGCATCCATCATCATCGGTAAGGGCGGCTCGCACGTCAACGAGATTCGGGAGAAGAGCGGAGCGCGCGTCATGGTGTCAGAGAGCATTCCTGGCAACCCCGAGCGCATCCTGAACGTCAGCGGTCCCCTGGACGCGGTGTCGAAGGCCTTCGGACTCATTGTGCGGAGGATCAATGACGAACCCTTCGACAAGCCTTCTGTCCCTGGTAGCCGTGCGGTGACGATCAAGTTCATGATCCCTAACTCTCGTATGGGCTCCGTGATCGGCAAGGGCGGTACCAAGATCAAGGAGATCCAGGATGCAAGCGGCGCGAGGCTCAATGCTAGCGAAGGCATGCTTCCGGGCTCTACGGAGGTGCGTCCAACGTTGCTGCCTTTCCCTCCTTCGTCTCATGGTCCTCTAGCGTCTGCTGAGCGTGTCTGGTGTTGCGGACGCGATCCACATCGCGACGTACTACATCGGGAACATCCTGATCGAGGCGAATGAGCGCATGCCCTCCTCGAACCACTCGACCTATCGCCCGACCAGCCAGTCGCGCCGCCCACCATATATGGGCTCCTCCTACGTCCCGGGGTATGCGCCAGCCGCAGCTGCAGCCGCAACGGCCCATAACCCGTATGCCGGCGGCCCCCCGTCCCAGCTGCAGACGCAGCAGATCTACATCCCCAACGACCTGGTCGGGTGTATAATCGGAAAAGGCGGTGCCAAAATCAACGAGATTAGGCACATGAGCGCAAGCCAGATCAAGATCATGGAGCCTGGCGCCGTTGGGGTTGGCATGAACGGCGCGCCAGCCCCCGCGGGAAGCGAAGGCGAGCGGTTGGTCGTTATAACGGGTCAGCCCGCAAACATCCAAATGGCCGTGCAGCTGCTGTATTCTGTACGTATTGTTATCCATGTGTCTTCAAAGGTGGCGCTGATGGGGAACACGGCGTCAGCGGCTCGAGCAAGAGAAGCAGAAGCAGCTCAGGCAGCAGACGACGCACGCGTAAGAGTGTGCTGCAGCAGTGTATGTATGCAAGTTTGTTTAGTATGTCCTCCATCCTCTTCTTCTATGGTGGTCTATGCGCGCCATCATAATCTATTCCTCTCGTCGATCAACTCGTCTCGTCTTCGTTTCCACTATTGTCAATCCACTTGAGGCTCGTATCCCCACGTTCCCCACCCCTTCATCCCAGCATCACTGCCATCCCCTGTCTCACTTGCCTCACGTCTTGTCGTCTAACGTCGTCCTCCGCCTCCTGTAGTATGCTCTCTGCTGCTATCCTATTTAATCGGAATCCGCAATTTGCCCACCCTGTCGCACCCGCATCTCGTTTGTCGCAGGCCTGAATGTCTGCTGCTTTCGTGTCGTCGTATCCCGCGTCGTTTTGACATCAAGGGCCCATGTTGTCGTCGGTCATTCATAGAGAATATGATGCCTACCCCCAAGAGCTGAGTCGCTGCTACTATATGGCTTATGTCCGCGGTATGGTTACGCGTTGCATCAAAGGTCGTGGGCTAGATGCGCGACGTTCGAAGTGAATTCTGGATTACCTGGATGCTGGTTTTGTGACGCGCTTCCGCGCCAGATGTTGTCGGAGCACGCAAGCAATCACGCACACAGTTCCTAGTGCCTCTCAGTCGACAGGGGCCAATTATCGGTAACCTCCGAAGTCCAGCTCGTGTGACCACCCTATTCACTGCACTAGAGAGAACTTCTCCATCACCTCCCATCCTTCCACAGGTCCATCGCACTTGATCAGCCAGATCTCGACGCCCTCGACTCTGTCAAGTAAGTGGTGAAAGTTGTCGTCGAGGCCGCCCTCCTCGTTCGCCAGCCGGTCCGCATAACAGTCCAGTACGACCGTCGAGTCCGAGCCGACGACCGAATCCCCCGCCCACCGGCCCCGCACGCGGAGCTGGCGCAGCAGCTCCTCCACCGTGAGCCGCCGCTGCGCCCTGTCCGCATCGTCTATGTAGTACAGGGAGAGGTGGGCGAGGGGCGGGACCGCGGCGTCGCCGAGGGCCGCGCGGAGGTGCGCGCGCAGCGTCTCGAGCGGGGACCCCGCGGGGGAGTGCGCGGCGACGTAGACGGACATGAAGTACTTATCGCCGATGTCGACGGACTTGAACCGCACGGGGACCGCGGGCTGGCGGGGCGGGATCGCCGCGCGGAGGGCGGCGGCGTCGGGGCTCGTCGCGAGCGTTATGTGGGGGTGGAATGCCGGGAACGACGAGGGGGAATGAAGCGGGGTGGCCGGGCGGTGTTGCATGACGGTCTTGATCTTCTCTGCGTCTTTCTCGTGCGGGACGAGCCAGAGGGAGATCGCTTGGGGCGGGGTCGAGATGGCATGATTGGGCTCGTCGGTCTGCTATGCGGTGCGAGGAGGCTCACCCATTGTGATCTTGGATGCCTACATCGAGAACATACTTTGAGCTTGGTCTGCACGGACTTCTAGCGTCTTTGAAACATACGTATTACAAGAGGACGCCGATTCTGGCTGAGACTTCGTCGCTCGGTAGACGTCGAGTCTGAAAACAAGACACAAAACCAGTCTAGGCATACATGTCGGACTTCGGGGAGAATTCACGTGGTCTCTACTGGGAACCACAACGCCTGCCTTTTACGGCGACTACACTACGTAGTACTGAGTTGTCTCCGCTCGACTTGGAACTGTAGTTTCACATCCCATTACATATGGAAGGCGTCGAAACTCGCGACGAGTCGCGTGAGGGCATACGTTGCGGACTGTGCCTTAAAGCTCGTGCGCATGTCTAGATCCCCAACGTGTAGACTGACTCGGGATGCGCAGAAAGGGGGTTGTATTGATCTGGAGGTGGTTGAGCAGAGGGACAGCTGATGTATGCGTACAAGTATACGGGTAGAAGGAGAGTGAGCAACGGTGCTACAAAGACTGTTGGTACAAAAGTACAAGATACCGTTCCGCCAGTGGCCGAGAAGATATAACTTATCCTACCGAGGTCCGCTCGCCGTCGCCCCGCAGAGGGTCTGCGACAGACCTAGCGAGACCTCAAGCGGCATCGGGGCACACTTCAAGCTTCAGGCAGCATCGGACTGCCCAGACTTGCTCTTCAAGCTGACCCACGACTCGCCCACCCCCGAGCCGTACCCCTCGTTGCTCTCCACGTCCGCCTCGCTGCCCGCGTCCGACAAGTTGTGCTCGTGCTCGCTGTCCGTCCCCTCTGCCGCCTTCTCGCTCGTCTTCTCAGAGGCGGGAGCAGGAGGCTGCTGGGGCGCCGGCGCAGGCGCAGCCTTGGGAGCGGGGGCAGCAGGGACGACGTGCGGGGCGACAGGCAGGAGAGCGTTCCGGACCGAGATGAGGAGATAAGGAAGGTTCAGCACGGCGTCGAGGAGGACCGCCGGGAGCCGCGCCGCCACCGCATACGTGCGCGCTGCATCGACCGAACGGATCAGCGACAGCGACGACAGACAGCCACGAAGGGAGACGGACGCACCCCCAGCCCCGACGACGACCCTGTCCCCGCGCACGGCCTCGAGCAGCCTCCCGAGCCCAAGGCGCGCCGCGGCGGGCGCCAGCCCGCCCGCGCTCTTCCGCCCGCTGCTCACGACGTCCACGACGGTGTCCACGAACGCCGCCACGTCGCTCGGCTGCCTCCTGATCGCGCACGGCGCGCCCGTGTCCGCCTCCAGGATCGACCCAAACGCAGCCCCGTACGCCGCCTGCTCCGCGGGCGTCCACTCGTCGACTGAGGTCCGCAGCCCCTCGCCCGTAGCGTCGCCAACAGCAGCTCCGACAACACCGACGTCGATGACGGTGACCTTGATGTTGCGCATCGCATCCGCGGGCTCCGTCCCCGCACCAGACGCCGCCGCGGCGCGGATCTCGCGGCGGAGGACCTCGACGCCGCGCAGCGTCGCGGCGGCGCTCATCGCCTGCGCCGCGGCGAAGGGCAGGCCGACGCGCGCGTCCGTCGCGGGCAGGCAGACGACGATGCTCTGCTTTCCGAGGCCGTTGGCGAGGGCGTCGCGGGCGCGCGCGGGGGACGCGCGGAGGAGGGGGAGGAGGGCCTGGAGGAGCTGGAGGGGGACGACGTGCGTCGCTTGGAGGTAGTCTGCGTACGTCGTGCGCAGATTGAGGTGCTCGAGCGGCGCGGGGGGTGGGGTGAGGGCGGGGGAGGGGAGCGTGAGGAGGGAGACGACGGAGTGGACGTAGATGTGTGCGCTGGGCGGGGCGTGGGGGTCGCCGGCGGACGTGATGGGGAAGCGGCGGGACATGGCCGAGGCGAGGGAGCGGAGGAAGAAGGGGATCATCTCCGGCTAGAGGGGATGGGATGAGATGAAGAGATGTGTGGGGAGGGGGGCGGAGGAGGGACATACCTCTGTGGGGTCGAGTACGAGTGCACGGACGTATCCGTGGCATTTGCTCTCGATCTCGTCGACTGCCTCGGGTGTGGATACGCTGGTGATCACTATGTAGCCCTTCTTTTCGAGATCGAGGATGAGCGGATGGCCAAGGGGCGAATCTCCCCCGAGGACAACTGTATGATGCAGTCAGTAACGTAAAGGTCTAAATCGGTCCTATGTTCGCCAAAAACGTGCGCTTCGAGGATCCACTGTTTGCAACAGTACTGCGACTACCAGCAGGAGAGGGACAGTATACTTCTCTCGCGCAAGCTTCCGGGGCACATGTCCTATACTGCAATCGCCATTGAACTCACCGATCACTTGTCTCCTGTCGGTGCTAGCAGCAGCGGCGTGTTTTCTCGTTCCTACTCTAGTCCTTCTGTGGATGCGAGGAGATGCGTAGCCTACAAGCAGGCCTGCTCCCACTACTCCGATGCCGATCCCTGCAGTGGTCCATGGGTGATCGGCGACCCAATTGGCGGTATTCTCCCAGACACTGCTCGGAGGAGGCGGAGGTGGAGGAGGTGGGGGGACCTCGAATGCTCCGAGACCTTTGAAGGAAGCAGGAACGGCTTGTGGACTGTGCCGAAGGACGTCTTGCCAGAGTCGGTGGATGGCGTCGGATACCTGGCCGAGGTCGGGAGTAGCGGCTGATAGGGAGGTGACGATGAGGTCCTCGACGTTCTCGAGGTAGTCCTCGATCTGCTCGATCGTAGGCAGCAGAAGAGGCATGGTGGGTGAAGGTGAGCAAGATTGCGAGTCGTGGATGTAGACGAGGAAAACAGGGAGGTATGAGGGGAGCCCCGGTGTGTCTAGAGTCTGCCGGGCCACAGCGGTGTCGCCGACGGAGAACGCGTCTCCGGCGTCTGCCCGTCCGTCCGGGCGGCCCGTGCGGCGGGAGGTGGCTGAGGTCTTGGTCGATGTCGGGTTGCAGGAAATATCGTGGGTTTCTCTGATTGACCGTGATCGACTCAGAATTTATATGAACTAGTTAGTATGGGACCTGGGAAGGTACGCTCTGTGCGGTCAGGCAGACTGCGAGGGAAGGGTTGGCACGTGACCGCGCGCAGGACGCGCCCTCTTGGCACGGCTGGAGGGATGCTGGCCATGGGCTGATGCTGGCTGATGCTGGCTGGCGTCGATGTTCAGAGTCTTTAGTCGCGCGGTATATCACAAGCAGGTGAGTCAAGTGTTTGTACTCGTAGGTGACGATCGGCGTAGCGCTCCGTCTGAGCAGCCTGCGGCTCAGAATTAGTCATGGCTGATATGTCGCGATGGTGCCAGCCCTCGGACGCAATCAACGCTGCCGCACTCCTCTTCATCTTCGACTCGTACCACCACCATCCCCAATAAGCGCCCACTTCCCATCCCCTCTCGTGAGTCCTTTCCTCATCGTCCTCTACTAACAATGGCATCCACAGTCTCCTCTACTGGCCAAGCTGCCTCAAAGAAAACCCCTGCCGTCGACCCGGCTCCCCGTATGTCTCCCTCCAGCTCTACTAGTTCCGATGTATCTATGGCCCGCTCCACCTCGCCCCTCCCCACCCTCAACGTCCCCAGCGACACTCAAATCTCCGCTACGCCCGCCGGCCTCTACACGCAGCCCGACGGCCCTGGCCTTTCCACCCAGGCCCGCCTCCACAATGCGGAGGCATCTGCACTCGCCTTCAACCTTGCGGCCGAGGCCGCGCTTCTGCCTCATGGCCCCCTCCCCTCTGCCTCGCCTGCCCCGCCTGTCTCCGGACTCGGCGAACTGGACCGGTACTTCCGGTCCCTCAGTGCCCATTTCACTCCCCTCTCTCAGCCCGCTCCGGACTCCCCGCTCCCGGCGTCTGTCCCGTCTTTCCGGCACCCCGCCATCCTCAGCGCTCGCTTCCTGGCCGCCATGGCCAAACTCAACGCCCAACCCAAATCCCAACGCCCCCCGGAGGAAAAAGCCCGTCTGGCGGACATCCTACAAGCCTTCCTCGACGACGGCTTCTCCTCCGCGTCCCGCGATGCCGCGAATGCGGCCTACGCGTTCGTCCGCGGTCTCCTCGACGCTTCCCCCTTCCCCACCAGCGACGTCCCCCCCGAGGCACACCAACTCACTCCCGACCTCGATTCACTCGACACAGAAACTGTCACCGACATTCTCTTCGCTCTCGTCATGTTCTTCCGCACTCACCCTGACTTTCCTCCCAGGGATTTTGACAGGTCCCACGTCCCCCGGGTGGCCGACGCCCTCGAAATCTACCCGTTTCACCTCGAGCGCATCTTCGACACTCATCCCTCCATCATTAACACAGCGATCCGCATTGTCTCCTGGGATCCGCCCGCCAACCCGGCCCCCCGGGCCCCCTCTCCCTCACTGCGCGAAGGTCAAGGCGTCCTTGACCTCATCAACAACCTCCCCCAGCCACTACTCCACACCACACCCCC